GATTTGGGAGAGTATATCCCTGTTTTGCTTTTGTCTGTTGATGTTAAAGTCAGCTTTGGCAGATACCCAACCAAGCAGAGATGGGTGCTTGTGTGTTTGGGGCTGCAGGGTGCTGGCAAGAGGGATACAGCACGTGGAGGGCACTGTTCATCCAGATGTGAGCCATGGCTAGCTAGAGCCTGTCTTCTCAGACCCCTGGTTTGATCCTGTGGTTTCACATTAAGCCAGATGTTTTCTGGAAGAAAAACACACCACAGGCATTAGGAGGGAAATCGAAAGTAATTCCTGTTGCTCAGACCTTCCATGGGGGAGAAGTTGTAGGTTGTTATGTCACACAGATGCAGGAAGGTGGGGAAATGATTGAAGATCTCAGGACTTGTGTTGATGTCTGTGACTCAGACATCTTAGGGGGAATGGAGGATGTTCAGTCACTGCAGAGTTGATTCACCTACCTGGCAATGAGATGAAGAGCAATGAATAATAGATTCTGGGGGGTGTGGAAGGCAGGAGAGGCCAACACACTAATTTTAAGCAGCTTGGGAAGTGCCTTAAGGGTGACTTTGTCTTTTTCTTGCCTTTTCTTTCAGAGCTTAGCTCTGTTGGCTCCTCTGTGCACAGATGCCCAACCCCTCTCTGTCCCATGGGCACACCAGGCACACAGCTCCTGGACACTCACCAGGCAGGTGGTACTGGGTGACAGAAGTACACTTCCAGAATGGGTTCTTAATCCATCTAGGTGCCTTCTGGCTCTGCTGTTCCCCCCACCCGTGTTCTGCTGCAGTGCTTCTGTGCTGGCAGGGTGTTTATTGCTGTGCAAGCAGGACTGGAGCAGTTGGACATGCTTTTTATCCTGTTGCAGCCTGCTGGAGTAATGGGGCAGATGTATGTGTATGTGCGTGCTCCCCTCCTCCCTTTCTGTATCCTGTTTCATGCTGTAATGACTGTGGGGTCCAAGAGGTCGCATCATCTAATGCTTCAGCAGCCTCTACCATAGATGTTTTATAATGCCTGGCTGCCATTCTTGGGTTTTATCTGCAAAGCATCACCGAGAGAATGGTTCCCCTTGCAGAGGGACCGAGCAGCTTGTCCAGTGTCACTGGTGCTGCCCACAGCTGAGGCAAGATTTGAGCCCCTGTCTGCAGAGCCTGGCATCTGCAGACTAGAGCATCCTGTGTAAGTAGCGGCCTATGGGGACTAGCAGTATGAGAGCAGTGCTTCTGGGGCTTGAGGCTGGGCTGCCCTGGGTTTTCTGGTATATGGAGTGGAAAATAATCTCTCAATTGTTGGTATGTTTGCTTTTCCTGATTTCCTGCTTTTTTTTTTTTTTCTTAATGCTAAAAGAAATTATCCTAAATATGTTGGATACTTTTGTTGACTCTTCCCATCTCTTTCAGTCATCACATTTGATTTGCAACCAGAGGATGCTGTAACAGGGCTGAGTTGAGGAATAAATCAAGGCTACCTTCTTCCCAGGTCTGAAGTCATTTCACAAATGATTCTTCGGTACCTTTGTGTGCGTTGTGCCCTTCTGTGTAGCCCTGCAGTGATAGGTGTTTTCATTACTGTGCATGACTCCTCATTTTGTAACACATCATGTAATTCAGATGGATTTGAATGTAGTAGCATAAAGGCTTTGGAGGCCTGCCCTGTGCAAAGGGGAAAATTACTGTCTGGCCCAGAGTGATGGCTTTGTGATGACTCCATTGTGTTCTGGTGCTCTGTGTTTGCACCAAACTGGTTCGCTGCCAAGTTACTTGTGGCTTATCCAAGCACTCAATACAAAGAATGTTGAAAGAAAAACTATTTCTGTTTTCTGCGAGTTCCTCTGGCTCAGAGAATTCAAGCTGCTGTCCGAGTGGCTGTCTCCTCTTCCTGCAGGCCAGTTTTCACCTGGCTGTGCAGCTAATGTTACCGTGTGAATCTGCAGTGTGTTTGTGTGTGTGTGTGTGTGTGTGTGTATGGGCAGGGATGTACTTCAAGGAGATGGACTGTGAGACCTGAAAGGAAAATGCCTTCTTGTTACTTGCCCTGGAGGCAGTGCTGGAGAAGTGTCCTGGAGCGCTGGGGTTACATGATTGGGAAGTCCAGGGCTCCTTGTAGCCACAGCTGTTCTGAGCCTGCAGCATTTCTCTTCAGCTCCTCGTGAGCAGGCTTCACCTTGCCCCTCAGAGCTCATCACACCTCGGCGTGCAGGATGGGCACTGCAGCCTGCCTTCAGCTCTGAGCCTGGGGCTGCCTTCCCAAAGTCCTTGGTCTTCGTGCTGCGCTGAATGGCTGAGCTGACCTCATACTGCACTCATTCTGCAGCTTCATGGCACACGTTGTCTGGCTTGAAGGCTAAGGCTGTGCTGGAAGCTTAGGAAAGGCTGATTGTCAGTGCTGCCAGCAGCATCCTTGCAAAGGGCAGGTCAGTGACAGGGTTCCTCGCTGTTGGCTGTGTCCCCATTGGCCTGCCCAAATGCGTGGACACTTGGTTGATTGTCAGGGACCTTGGGGGTTTCTTGAGCACTGAGCAGGATAATCAGGTAGATTGTGGGATACATCTGCTTGATCCTATTTCTTATGATTACGTGGTGAGGAACAAGCCTTAATGAGCCTTGGCCTTTCCTGTCTCCTCTGTAAATCTGTTTGACTCAATTGAGCTCTCTTTGTGCCAGACATCTCTCTTTGTGCTTGGAGATGGAAGCATCCACCTCTGAAGCTGGCTGTGCTTTGAGCAGGGCTGTGGATTAGCTGACCTCTAGAGATCCCTGCCAATGCTTTTTCCCCTTTCTTTGTGAGTGTTTGTAGCTGGTGTAATTGTGGTCCTAACCCCTCTGTAGTGGTGCTGGCAGTGGAGGGGATTTTAGCGCTGGTTCACAGAAGCATCATAGCTGTTTCTGCATCACAGAGAAAATGCTGCCTTTGAGTTAACCACTGTGCTCTAACTTGCTTTCTGGCCTCTGGTCCCAGGGAACTGCCTCATGTGTGAGGCCAGAAGAGATCTGACAGGTGGGTTCCTTCCGTGTGTGTCTGTGTCTGGGGAGAGATGTGCTCAGAACGCCCGTATCTCAGGTGGGCAGGATCTGCAGGTGGTCTCCATCACTCCTAGTGGAAAGCCAAAGGAGGAAAGGTTTTATCCTCTGCCTCGTCTCAAATAAATTGGTGGCAGGAAATCAGAAGCCCAGATAAATGAAGGTGTAGTAGGGGTTGTTAACTTTTAGCAATGAATGTTTTCGGTGAAGCTGGGGGAAGTTCTGTGTGAAGCAGTGTGTGCTGCCCTGGAGCACCCTATGGGAACGTATTCATTCTGCTGGGCATGCGTGGGGCTTCAGCACTTGTAGCTTTCTGACTTTGTTCAGAGACAGATGATTACACAAAAAACCTCCTTAAACTGCAGTACTCCTATACTAGGTTTTTGGCTTAGAATTCCCCAGCAGACACTGGCAAATAGCCGTCAGCCTTTTGCCTGTGGAAGTGTTTTGGAGAAGAGCCAGTCTCACAGGAGCGAAGGGGAGAGGTGTGCTTTGCGTGTTGCTGGGCAGGAGGTTGATGATGAAGAAAAGCAGATTGTGAAGATTTCAGGCAGCTGAGGGAGTAGGAGCACCATGGGCCACAGTGAAGAATAATAGAGTTCAGAAATGGATTTTTTCAAAAATATTTTCTTAGATACTGCACTTATTTTTCGCGTAGTTGTTTATTGCAAGATGCAAATGTGAGGAAACGCATTGTAATGGAGGGAGAAGCTCACCAAGGTTTTGTTTTTCTTTCTTTGTGCTGAAAGGTTTCCTTCTCACACTTCTTTATCTGTTGTTTGCTTTAGCTTTCTGATTCCTCAGCTGCCACTTTTCCAGGTAAGGAGCCCATGTCAGGCTAGGTCATGGCAGTACCATTATGAACAGAGCAGTGCTTGTGGAGGTGGCTGGTGGACAGCCTGTTTCTCAAGGACAGCAGCATGCAGCACTGCTGTCCCTGCAGAGCACTGCGTCTGTCTTCTGGGGTGCTGTAAATCCAGCAGCTTTAGCAAGGTGCTTCTTGGCAAGCTTTGTATGGTATGTGGTGCAGTAATGCATCTTCAGACACCGAGAATTCAGTTTGTGCTGCTCATTCCATAGAGGCCATGACCAGTAACCCACAGTCCATAACGTGACTCCAAGACAGAGATGTGAGTGAGTGGGGGAAGGAGAATGAGTGACAGTGGCTTCTTGAGCACAGAGGTGTGTGGTATTTGCATGCACAAACATCCAGCTCTTGCACACAGCCATTTCTGTAGCTGGTTTGCATCCTGTCAGTAGAGCTTTTCCATTGCAGCAGCGCTGGGGGTGTTTTATTTGTGTGTGGTTTCTGGGTTTGTCCTTTCTGAACAGACAGCAGTCAGGGCTGAGGTTGGACTCTTGGGTGTGCAGTGTGATCCTTGGTGACTCATGGCCTTCAACAACTGCAGTCAGATCTCAAACAGAAGCTTTTCAGGCATGGCTGTGGTAGAAAATCTGCTGTTTTTCTGTTCATCTGGTAGGAGAACAAAGGCCTTACTTCTTTCCTGTTGTAAAAGTCTACCTCACATTAAGTAAACTGTTCCCTGAGGGAGAAAGTGTCCAGGTACAGACTGTTCACAAAGGAAATATTCAGAGTGCCTACCGAGTTCCCTAAGTGTTTGCTTAATATAAGGGCTGGAGCAAAAAATAGAATATTTTCTAATTTGAGAGCAAAAAATACCTCTTGCAGGTGGTAGAAAATTCACTGACCTTCTTCAGCTTGGATCCTGCAGCAGTAAGTGCACGGGCGAGGAGAAAGAGCTGCTGGGAGGCCGCAGTGTGTGCAGATCCCTCTGTTCCAAGCACGCAGCGTGTGCCCGCTGCCTACACGCTGCTGGCACTGTCGCAGGAATTTGAGTCCGCAGCCATTTGAGAGGTTTTTGTGTGATGCAGGGTAAGAGCCTTGCTAATCTGGACTTGAGCAGCAGAGGATCCATGTATTGATCTCATGAGGGTTATTTTTGTGGTTTCTTTTGCTGTTTACAGCCGTGCCAGCTTTGCTTCTGAAGCAGTCGTAAGCCCAGCGGAGCTGCTCTGTGATGCAGTCATGGCAGTACCTTCCTTGCCGCATGCTCTTGGAGCCCCATATGAGCTTCTCGGATGTCACACAAGGAAGTGAATGTCACTGTGGCTTGGTAGGTCCTGGCTGAAGATGCTTGCTTTCCCCTCACTGGCTGTGAAAGCTCTCTGCAGTAGTGCTTTTCCTTTTCTTGTGCCTTAGTGCCAATACGTGTACCAGTATGGCACCCTCCAGCAGAATCTTGTTGCTGACTCTTTGGCACCTTTGAAGAGCAAGGATGAAGCTTCCCGTGTCCTTAATTTCTGCTGTGAAAGTGGAGAAGAAACAACTTGGGATGATGCTCTGGCTTTGCTTTCCATGAGGATGTGAAAATGCTGTTGGATTGCTGTAGTGCTCTAAAGGCTTTTGTTTCTCTTTCAGAACAAAATAGTTCAATGTGCTGTTTTTATTGTTCCCATTTCTCTTTGCTATGCAGTATTCCAGGAACACAGCATTTATTTGGAAGCTGGGTTTTTTTTGGTCACTGAAACCGTCTTGGTTCTGTCTGTGAATGAGAGGCTTCACATCCTGGCATATCATGGAAGAGACAGAGGATGCACTAAGTTGTTCTGCACTCATTTGGGTGCAACAAAAAGTTAGAGCTTGGCCTTGAGAAAACCCAGTGCCCCCTCACTGTCTGCTTTCTTGCAGCAGGTGAAGGGAAGTATCTTCCCTTCTGCCTCACCAGCGCTGTCAGTTAGGATGAAAGCACTTTAGCCTCTCATCTGAGCAGCCACGACCTAGAAATTGTTGAGGAACAGTAAATATAGAACCATACCTTGCTGCTTTTACTGAGTCACTTTTTTTTCTTTTTTTTTTTTTTTTCTCTCTGGAGGGGAAGAATTAAAAAAAAAAAAAAAAAAAAAGGGGAAAAAAAAACCCTTCAACTCTTTAAATAGCATCATTTACACGTGGGAGCTGCTCGAATCCACCCTGTCACACAAATTACCAGCTCTGAACTTGGCTGTCAGGAAGCGTGCTCGGGAGCTGCCATCCGCAGGGGGTGTCAGTGCAAGAGATCGGTTTCATGCAAGCAAGAGGCATCCAACCACCGTGCCAAGACGTTTGTCCTCACGTTACCTCGAGCAGCGGGGGCATCTCAGTCCCGCCGGCAGCAAGCGCCCATGTGCCCTTCACTTGTCACGCTGCTCTTGTCCCCGTTCCCTTCCTTAGCTGCGGGGCTGGCTGTGACATCTGGGGCAAGCCCCCATCCTGCTGCATTTCAAGCAATTAGTGCTTGGCCCAGCAAGCGGCCTTGGAGCAGAGGCTTGAGCCTCGTTGTTTCCTTAAAGGGATAAAGCCACAGCCTTTTCTCTCTTTTACTGCTTTTTTGCAGCTTTGATGCTGCAGTTGCAGCTCGATTGGCCCATCTGATCATGCAGAGCTGAGCTGCGCAGCAGGCCTGGCTTGCTGGGAAGGGTTCAAAAGGCAGCACCTTGCCTTTGTTGTATTTCCTGCAAGCTAACGAAACCTGTGTTTTGCGGAGCTACTTTGTAACCTCGTTAGATGTTGGTTTTGGCATGGATGCTTTTATTCCTCCCCGTTTGAAACAAGCAGGAGAACAAAGTGAATGAAATGCCAGTTCCCAAGAAGGGTACAGCACAGAGCTGGAAGGATGTATCGCGGTGAGAGTGGCTGTGATTGTTTGCTGCCAGGAGCTGAAACGGGGAGAAGTGAAACTTCAGTGTCAGGGGTGGGTTTCTGTCAACTGTTTTTATCTTCTGGCTGTCTGCGGGGAGTCTGACTGCAGCACATGAGCGCTCTGTGTGATGTCAGCCCAGAAAGCACACATTTTAGGCTTTCCCTGTGGCTGCATGGAGAGGGAATTTGCAACAATCCAAACATTGACAGAACTGTATTTGTTGACTCGCAGAAAATCCTAGCTCGTGCTCCTCTGGGCTGCAATCACTTAAGCCTGAACATGATGACTTCTGTCTGTGCTTGCTGCTCTCCTGGCCTCAATAAACCTGGGAACCAGAGGCATTTCTTCTGATTCAGCAAAGCACTCAAGTGCAGCTCCAGCTGTACTTGTCCTCCCTGCAGTTACTGCCACTGTGCTCGGGGTGAAGCAGTGCTTGAGCCTTCTGTGTGTGCAATGAGGGATTTGGGCAGTGTGTGCTGAGGGATGCTCTGCTGCTTGGCAGGCAGGTAGCAAAGATGCACTGGCACTATAAGATCTTATTTGGTTAGCTCCCCCAGTGTGGGAGCAGCCATGTGATGTTGTTGGCCTGCAGGGAGGAGGGTGCATGGTTCCAATGACAGAATATTACTTGTATCTGCTCCTGACTGCTGATCAAACCTGTGGCTTAATGACTTCTAGGATTCACGTGACTTGTCTTCCATCTTGAGGACCCAGAACAGTTTACTGCATATGTGTGTGCCTGTGAAGTCTGTGCACATGGTGTGCTCCTGAATTTACGTGGGTGAGAGAAAGACAAATGCTTGTGTTGTTACAGACTTTCGGATTTCTCATGGAAATAGTGGTCACAGCTAAGCTGCTTGCACAGTGTGCTGTGGTTATGTGAAGTTCAGAGCCTTGCTTTCCCTGGAGCCTGAAACTGTGCAGTAGGCACCTAATGCACAAGATGGTTGTACTTCAGTCTGCTCAGAGCAGCTCCTGGGAGCATTCCTTCTAATCCCCACCCATATTTGACCTGTTGTAGCTCGTTTTGGAGAGCTGCGCCCAGCCTGTCCCTAGCTGGCTGCAGGGAGGCTTCTATACATCTTTTCCTGCTCGCTGAGCTCACTCTGGGAGCCCACGTATGAGTGAATGGGATTTGTGTATGGATCTGCTCCTTTCACAAAATCGGAGTTAGTTGTGAGCATCCCCATTCCTTAAAATCACGAAAGACATGAGCGTGGCTAGATGTGCTTTTTATTACTTTCTTTTGAAGTTTAAAACACATCCAGCAAATCTGATTTTGCTGTTCCCCACCTGATACCTAAAAACGCAGAGGTCTTCCCAGAAGCATGGCTTAGCAGAACTTCTGCACCGTTGCAGCCGTCCTGCGTTCAGCAATCCGGGCGCTTTGTTAGACTCCAATTAGCCTAGAGCAGACTTGTAGTGTAGGTTTAGCAAATGTTGTTTTCCGTGTGAAATAACTCAGCCCATGAATCAAACAGGCTCCCTGCCCCACCCCCTGCAGCCGATGACAGCAGCTTCCCACACGCCTTCCTCGCAGCATTGTGTGGCTGCTCCAGCAGGTCTCGGTTAGCAATCGGGGTAATTGCAAGTAACACCAGTAATAAAAAGAGGAATGAAAGCTTCCTGCTCTTGTAGTTGAAGGCTCTTCTGCAGAAGTTTGATGCCTTAGCAGTGGTCACATGAGCAGCATGCTGCACTCCCCAAGTGCTTGTCAGAGTGGATGGCAGTGCTTTAGGAGATTAGAAGATGGAATCATAGAATCACAGAGTGGCCTGGGTTGGAAAGGACCATAATAATCATCTAGTTTCAACCCCCTGCTATGTGCAGGGTCACCAACCAGCAGACCAGGCTGCCCACAGCCACATCCAGCCTGCCTTGAATGCCTCCAGGGATGGGGCATCCACAGCCTGCTTGGGCAACCTGTTCCAGTGCATCACCACCCTGTGTGTGAAGAACTTCCTCCTAATATCCAACCTAAACCTTCACAACCATCAGTAATATTTGATGTACAGCGTTGGTACATCAGATATTAGAGTGGAACTCCTAAGGTTGGCTGCTATAGTGGATACCAAGGGCACCTGGGATGGAGTGCATTGGGAGCTGCTTGTGTACCATGAGGCGCTGGAGTCGGAACGACTTGAGCAGTGTTCATTCTCATGGAGAAGTGTGGCTGTGAACAGGGGGTTAATCTGTTCCCTTTGTGCATGGCTCACGTTTCCCCGCCAGGTTTGCTTTTCACTTCATAGGCTCCCAATGTGTCGATGCACTGCCGTGTGTCCTCGCGTCACACCGCCGGCATGGCAGTGGGTTAAAGCCACCTCGGAGCAGGCGGAGGGCTGAGCTGCGGCGCTTCCTTCTGCTTTGTGCGCAGGGAACCACGGCTGCTCTTCCTGCCGCGCTCCTGCGGAAGAAGGAAGGAGGTGGGGGGGATGAATGGAAAAAGTACACCGTTCCTAAAGCCCCCGCTGTGGGCATTGCTGCTCCGTGTGGAAGGGCGCCTGCTGACAGCTACCTGTGCCCCAGAGGCTCCCGGCCGGAGCCTGGGCCGGGCACAGCCTCAGGCCGAGGCATTCTGTGTGCAGTGGGCACGAAAATGAACGTCTGCCAGAAGAGATCGATCTGAAACAATCTCTTTTATTGGGCGGCTGCCCAGAGCTTCTGCTGCAACAGCCGATCTAATTGGTCGCTTCCTCCTCCCATGCGCAGCTTCGTGTGGGAAATGCCCTTTTTATCTACAATGGCTGACTGCACTGTGCCGCACTGTCAGCGTCTGGGGAGCCCCGCGCGTGCGGCTGCCGCTTAACGCTGAGTTTGGAGAGGGGCGATTGTCTGGTTGGAGCTGATTCTATTTCTCTTTTCCCTGCAGGTTGCTGAAAAGTGCCTTTCCTGAAGCCACCGCTGCTTGGATTTCTGTCTAGGGCTGCCTCTCTCTTCCCCCTCACCCCTTTCTTTTTAATTTGGCGTTGCTTGCAGTCCATACCTTGACGGCAACTCATCCATCCTCTTTTTCTTTTTTTTTTTTTGTGCTCCCTGTTTGCACGCAGTTTGCTCAGCCATTTTTTTCTTCCCCCGACTATGTAGCAAATATTAAAAAAAAAAAAAAAAAAAAAAAGGAAAGAAAGAAAAACCTGACATCCTTTTGCTCGTTTTGATGCTCGTGAACAGTAATTTTAAGAAGCAAGAAAAAGAAGGAAAAAAAAAAAAAAGTTTTCCCCCCAAGGACTGAGACCATTCCACAAACTGAAGTGCTGCCAGCAGCATATGCTTTTTGCAAGAATAATTGAAACCATTAACCGGAGAGCACAGAATTCTTTTGAAAGTCTGCCAGTTATTTTCAAGTAACTTCGGCAGTGGCACAAAATATAACACTTCTATTTTAACTTCTACAATTGCACTTTTAGGAGCTGGCCTCTAATTTGATTTTCAGTTACTCTGATAAGATTTCTATTTTATGATTGGCTTTATGTTTGATTCTTGTTTAAACAAACACGATTTGACTTAAATGAAAACCTAAGTGCTGATGAATAGGAGTTCTACCAAAGCAACAAGTTAGTTATTTCTTCACGTTTCACTTGAATTCACTTTTTTACCCTTTTTTTTAAATAAAGAAAAGAAGATCAGCAGTAAATATTGCCCTGAAGAAGGGTGCGATTGCTTGCATTTTAATTTTTGTTTTTAATATGGCTGTGAACGTTTCCCTGGTTCGTGATACAAAATGGCTGACGTTAGAAGTGTGTCGAGAGTTTCAGAGAGGAACTTGTTCTCGGTCTGATGCAGAGTGCAAGTTCGCCCATCCGTCACGGAGTTGCCATGTGGAAAATGGTCGAGTTATTGCCTGCTTTGACTCCCTAAAGGTGAGGACGTCTAACACATGCGTTACCTAAGCTCATTTGCTTTCCTTCTCTTCGGAATCGCTTGGCTATGAGTGTTACAGCGCTGTTTTTTGCTCTCTTTCTGCCGAGATGTTGGTGTGGGATGTGGCTCCTGAAATCTGGGTTAGCCGGGAGCCTGCCTCTCCTTTGTTTGGTCTCATTCAAAAATGGGAAGTTCCAGATTGCTTTTTGCTTAGAGATCACAGCCAGAATGGAAATAAGTGACGAGGGGTGAACTCTGCTACCGTGCTGTGTTGGTTGGGTCTGACATCACGTGTAACTGCATCGTGTCGCATCATGGAGAGAGAAAAAAGAATTTTGTCCAGAACGTTTCCTAACTGTAGCTCGGGTCTGATGCAGCTCTCCTGGAAATGAGGAATGCATGTTGTGGGCAGTAAATGAAACCAAAATGAGAAAAGTAGAGAACTGAAACCCAGTGCTTCATTTGTGTCCGGAGCACATTGGCCGTGTATTCAGCACAGAGATCTGAAATGTGCTTTTAATGAGCAGAAATGAAAGCAGCATTTTAAGATAATGAATCAGCTTTATGTCTACTTCCTGGAGACAGAGCTGCAGATGTACTCTACCACTGTCCTGTAGACGAGGAACAGGCAAAATATTTGGAGAGCAGTGCTCACAGGGAAAAAAGGGTGTTGGGAAAATGCGTTCTGCAAGGGATGTGAGAGCACCACGGATCTGCTGAGCTTGTCCAGGATCAGGCTGAGCCCTTTGGCCGGCAGTTGTCTCTGTATGGTCAGTTTTGCAGGAAGCAAATGGTTCTCGATTCCTAATCACTGTCAGAGTTCTGGAGTAACTTTCAAAACTTCAGGAAATATTCCCTTTCTGAGCTGAGGGTTTTTTTGGCTTGTGTGTTTTTCTTTTTTAAGTGAAATCTCTCAAGGGTGGTTTAACTGAGCTGATAAAAACCATGAAACGTCATGCGTGATTGCTTTTGAGAGCTCTTCACATTGTGTCTGGTGTTTTGATTTGAATAATTAACCTGTTTGAATTTCTAAAAGGAATCTGGTGAATTTTACAGGCTTGAAAGTTTTCCCTTCAACTGTTGATTGAAAACCTTGGGGTTTATTTTTATGAACACAATGACTAACAGAACTGGTGGAGTTCTGTGTGTACAGGTTCAGACCGGGGCTGGATCTGGTCTAACATGGCTTTATCCATTTTATTACCATTTGTGGCTTTTTATATTTTCACTTCTGTTCCCTTTCACCAAGAAGTTCAAGCTTCCTATTTGCATTTGGTTTTGCTCGTTTTAATCTGAATGTGTGCAGAGACTTGAGTTGCACAGTGACTTTCAAATGTTTATTTACAGTGCTGGCCTTATGATGGTGAGGGACAAAAATATTCTTTATCAGATGGGGAGGGGGGAAAGTCACGTCCTTTGTGCCCTTGAAACTTTCTGAATTGTCGCCAGAGGCAGTGCAGATACCTTTGAAGAGATGAATATGTTTGTTTTATCGCATTCATTTGTGAACTGAAAGGAGTGCTGTAATGCCACGTAAGATATTTCCATGTCCCTGGCAACAAAAGCATGCTTCAGCAGTGGGGGATGTGATGGGAAATACCATGTAGAGAAAGGAGAAGAAAAAAGAGTTGGGTATGATTTTCTACAGCTCAGCTTCTTCTCTCTGCATCTGGTTGTTAGATATTGTTTTCATTGCAGTTGTCTCCTGACAGTACTATATGCCCTGTGTGTGCTGGTTAACCGATGCCAGTGTTCATGGGAGCAGGTTTTTAGACTCCATAGGGCTGTCCTCAGCCTGAGGGCAGTGGACAGGTCTGCACACCTGGAGGAGAGAGAGCGCACAGCTTGATGGTGGGGGCAATTTCTGCACCCTGCTGCTCCTGCAGGGAATGGGTCTGAGGCCTTCTTTCCTCCACAGAGATCCTCTGGGTGGATCTGGGCGCTCTCTCTGGGAGTGCCTGGTGCTGCTGCCCCACTGCAGGGTGCAGCTCCAGAACCACAGCCTGCTTTAACAACCGGCTGGTTGGCCAGGGTGGGTGGATGTGTGTGTGTGCACCACAGTTTCCCAGAGGAGATAACAGCCCTGGTGACTAACCATTCAAACAATAGTCCTTCTGTTCTGGGGCCGGAGCAGGGCTTGCAAGGCCCTGTTTGCAGCAGTATCGAGGGACTTGTGGTCATAACAGTGGCCTCCCTTACCGGTTGCAAGGGCAATGCTATGCACACATGTGGAGCCGTGTGAGTGTGCAGCTGTTCTCTCACTAGTGGCTGTGGAGCACTGAGTTTACCTTTGTCTTTCACAATGCTGCTGCCTGCCAGGGGGGTCAGCCCTCTGCACAGCGTTGGGTTGAGGCCCCACCCTTAACACTAACCTGTTATGGCGAGGTTTTGTTTGCCCATCCTATGGACGTCTCTGTGCTCAGCCTCTTCCCCTCTGACAGCTGCTGAACGCTGATCCTTTCCTCCCTAATGAGAGCTCCATCGCTGCTCAGTGCTCTTTTCATCTTTTTACGCCCTGCGTTAGCACAACATCTGTGTTGCTTTATTGGAGACAGGATATAGGATGCTTGCAGCTAATAAGTTTTCCCGTTGTCTCCCAGTCAACCAGGGCTTTGTTCAGAGGTTGCTTATCTGCATCCATTGTGTAGTGCCGTTGCTTGTTTTTTCTCACAGACCTCTTAAGCCTGAACAATGCGTTCATACAGGAACTTTGATAACCCAGCATACAATGGTTTCACCTCGCTGGTCAGGTCACGCACAGCATCTATATGCTTACTGCGTTTTTTTTCCTTCCCCAATCTCACGCTGCAGTTCTCCTTCTGTGATTCCAGAAGTCAGATGCTTCAGTGTGTGTGGGTTCACATGAGCGTGCACTACCTGTAAGCCTGTTAGGAAGATAGAAGGGCTCTTGGTGAAGTGATGCAGGGGCTTTACTGATGCTAGGAGGGATCTGCCTGTGTGCTCTGTGGGTGTTGTGTGGCGTGTTGTGAAGAGCTTCAGTTGTCAAATGTTTGGGTCTCAATTAGGTTGCGAGTTCAGGACTGCTGCCCTGGAACTGTGGTTCTTCGAAGGGAGAGCTTGCACATTTGTAGGCAACAGAAGGAACCTTTCTCAAGCAGATTGATATGAAATTTAAAAATAGTTCCTGTGAGAAGCTGTTCACGGATTTGAATTGGGTGCCAAGAGACTTCTCGCTCTTCACTTGTGCTTCCCCCACCTCGTTATTCTTTAAGAACTGTGTTATTTGAATTAATTTGTATGAATGGAAGGGCAAGTGGGCCCTGCTTGGTGAAGGGCAATGCAGGGTCCCTAGGCCAGCCGTGGCCATGCCACCCCTGATCTAGAAGTGCCCTGAGCAGTGACCATCTGGCCAGGTGCCGTGGGGACACGTGGCCCATTGCCCAGTACTATGGCCTTCACGAGGTCCCCTTCACTTGCAGAGCGTTGGGATAGAGAACAGCTGATGGCCTTGTTCTGAAACATCCTCATTGCTTTTCTAGAGGGGACACCTTGCCTACTGCAAGCTGCTCACTGCTGGGTGGTGTGCAGTCTGTTGGGTTTCACTGAGGATCATTTGTTTAAGAAAGCAGAAGTAGGAAATAACATTTGAGCAAAGGAGAAGACTCTACTGTCATCACTGTAAACCGAGATGGCTGTAGTGTTCATTCCCCAGCTTTTGTTCTGGGCTTGGCACATCCCATCCCATGGGTAGCTGATGCCTTTTGCAGGGGTCAGGACACGGCTCGCTGGCACGTGGCACTGCTCACAAAGGCTCTCATGGCCCTGCGGTGGGCTGTCTGCAAGCACTCATCAACTCATTAACCTTTCCTTTCAGGCGGGATCAGGCAGCCGCAGCATGAGATGTCTGAGTCCTGATTCACTAGCCAGCAAATCCTTCATTGGCTTCTCCAGTTTGTAAAGATGTCAGAGAAGGAGAACCACCAAACTTTCTTCAGAAGAAGCACGGGTTAACGAGCAATAAGTGGAGAGAAGGAACGTTAGTAGAATGTGAAGCATTATGTAAAAATACGTAGGCGATGGGTGCCAGGTGCTCAAAGAGCCTCTCGCTCATACTGCTCACATTTTGCACAGTGGCCTTGTGGTTAAAAAGCACAAGCCCAGCCTTCTGGGGTCTTTTTGTTTTAACCCGCTTGGAGTGTGGGTGCTCTCACGTGCAGAGGAATTTGGAAGAGCACCTTGAGAGACAAAAGGGCAGCGCGGCAGAAACTTCAGGGTAATGGATTTTGACTTTAGGAGATAACTTGTTAAGCACGTCATGAAGCTGCTATGTGTTTCATAGCATTTCTGCATAGAATCATCTGTTAACAGGCAGAAAACCAGTAGTTAAATGTACAAGTTGTACTCGATGGTATGTTTTCTAAAAGTTATCATTATCTGGTAATAGTTATCCAGCTCGCATGGCATCCTGAAAGCTGGCTGTGCTCACGTTTGGCACTGCTGTACCCGAGGCTGTTGTGCAGTTGTCATGCTAATTTGTACTTGTTTTGTGCTGACTTCACTGGAACTACATCTGATTGTTACTGATTTGCAATCAAATCTCTTTTTTTTTTTTTCAAACTGCAAACTAGGAAACAACTGAAAACACCCACTAAACTTAGCATATGGTTACGCTCTTGCAGAGGAAGAAGAAAGAAAAGAAAGCCATAGAGATATTTATGGAGAGACCCTGGCTGTATCTCTGCTCAGTGTAATGGAAAGGCAGATAACGCAGATGAGCCAAGTCACCTTTGAGAGAAACCTTTACTTCCCATCAGTTTAAGTCATTTACCTGCGTAGTGGTAAGTGACTTAAAGCATTTGATGGCAAGGAATAGATTTGCAGCAGCGTGTTGTTGACATTCATTGTCTTGTCTGGATGCTTGCATGTCTTGTGGCATATTTTAGATGCTTTTTTTTAAGCTACTGAGTGCAGTAGCTGAAAGTGGTTGGGGGAATGGTTGTTTAGACTGCACTGTATTTGTAAGAGCTGTTCTTAATGT